GCGGTCAGATTTTACCTCCGAAAGGCACAACGAGGTAAAAATGCCAGCAAACAGTGCTCTTCATAAATCGCCGCGAATGGTAAAGCACGAATTATGTCAAAACATTGATTGAGTGGAAAGCGCAAACTGCGATAAACAACGGACGCAAAACGCAACCGATAGAATTTCCCGGATTGTGGGAAGCACGACGCGAAGAACACGACCCGACTCAGTGCATGCCAGCAATGGGTGCTGCGATGTAAATCGATTCGCCGAGAAGCTGACAGCTTCAGAGGCTTGAAAGTAGGAGATGGCTAGATAATCTTATATATGGCGCCTTCACCTTAAGATTTTAACAAAACAATCTATTGCAAATTCGATTTATTTGAGTGGTTCATACTTTGAAAAAACGACAACTATGCATAACATCGAGATTAAACTATAAACAGCAGAGATATAACATACTCTCGACACCTAAATACTCTAGCTGCGTCTCTAATACCATGAGTAGAACGTATTTTGAGATGTTTAAGCCTTTTTGGTGATAACTGTCGGCCATAAACTCAATTTGGGAAGTTTGGGGATTTTAATCAAAGTTACACGTTAACTATCATCGCGACTATGCTATGAATGGATAATGCATACCCCAAAGGTCAATCATTTTTCACCACTTTTAAGTAAAGCGAAAACCAAGTGTTACTTAGATCTTCACAATAATCCGGATGTTGAAAGTTCTCTAGCATGGCAACATTCACTGCTGATAGCTAGTTGTCCCAAATTTAGAATGCACATTGACTAAAGGACGAATATCAATCCAGAAAATATATAGAGGCTTACAGTTTGTAGACATCCAGAAGAAGTTGAAACATTGAAGGATTAGCTCAGCTGGGCAGTAAATCTTACTAATCCCAGTTTTAAGGCCAGACCTTGCAAAATTTGAAAAAAATACTCTTGCTATATTACTCCCTAGGCATGTCGCTCTTTTATAATACTGTTGAACGAAACAAAAAATTGAATACAGCAAAATTCCCAATTTGCGAAAAAAGACATGTTTAAG